CTATTAAGTGAGATGCTTTATTTTACAGACCTACAATTCCCTTTTTGGAGCATATCCATTGTTTCTATTCAGATTTTGCTTTCTGTAATGGATCTTTTGCTTTTAAGGCAACCTGTGAGTGTAGTCTATTTGTACCTCTTCCTCTATCATGAAATGATTGCTTAGCTATATTAGCTTGTATCTAGGCCATATCATCTATTCCTCTCTCTCTCTCTCTCCTTCCATTCCTTTTGTAATTTAGTGGATTTGTGTGACATACAATGTGCTATTACAAAACTGGAATTTTTGTGCTACTTTTATGGGTTTTACAAACAGTTTTAGAGGTAAGAAAGCAACATACAAGTGAAATATTAGCTAATGAAAAATCATTTATAGATCGATCCTTCCTTATTTTTAATCCATCGATGTTCTTTCCCTACTAAGGATGTAACTTTTGAACTTGAAAAAAAAATAAGAAAGAAAAAAAATTAGAGGGGAATATACAAGAGAAGGGCGAACAAAAAAGAGTAGGCTATAGGAGATCAGAGTATGTCAAAAAGCCATGTCAATACTATATTGTCAACATTAATAGAAATTCTAATGGAAGGCTACTCAATAGAACTAGGTGTCGAGGTGGTGGGAGAAGTTGAGAACCAAGTATATATGCTAAATAGAAAGAGTTGATACTAATGGTATCCTCATACCGCGCCACATTATGCTCATCCCCTGCATATGCTTATGTATTGGACCTTCAAAGTTGTGAGACACACAGCCATTCGTATTATTAAGTATTTGAGTTTATGTGTTGGATCTTCAGAGTTGTGAAGCAAACGACTATTGTTATTGCTAAATATATTTTGGAGCATTGTTGAATGAAGGTAGAGATTTAGAGGTTAAATGCTCAAGGAAATATTCAACAGAAGTGTGTTTTTACTGTGATGTGATATATCAGATCAGCATAAAGATGGAGGTTTTAGAAATCAGATGCTCATCTTTGAAAACTAGTTTGCTTCCCTCTGCACTGCCCCTTCCTTTTTTAGTTGACTTGTTATTTGACTGGCTGGGATTTTATTATCATCAAGTCTAGGTTAGGCAAACTTAAAATAAATATTTTGTCTTAAACTTCGTATAATATTGTTGCACTATTATCCTTGTTTTATATCAATTCTTTTTTTCTTGGATGCTCCTTTTCCTGCCATTCACTTTTTTCTCTTGTCAAATGAGGTTCGTTTCTAACCGAGGACGGGGTTTAATGTAGGAAATAGATCCAACCTAGAAATGAAGTAGATCATTGATCTCCTTCCTCACCAGGAAAGGGAACAAATGGCTATTTAACTAATCTGTTATCCTAATTGACTTTGCAGATATTTACGGATTTGAAAACTCAAATACTGGCCTCACAGGTATATTTTCAATTACTTCTTTCTGCAATCCTTATTTTCTGTTTCAGTTAAAAACCAAGCAAGAGACTTCTGGTGCACTCTGCTTACAAGAAAAAGTTTTAGTTTATGTCTAAATTTTCATTCAAATAAGTCATCGTTGCTTTAGTTTTCCCAAACTTTGTTCCCATGAACAGTTAAATCTTCTTTTGAATGCATGAGGTTTTTATTTTATTTTATTTTATTTTTTTAAGTGCATAGTTTGTGGTCTATTACTAATAGATTCCATCACTTGCATTATAAGGTGACTTTTAAAGATTATGGATCATTAGTGAAATTAATATCCAACTTCTTATACAAAACATGTGAAATTCACTTAACTGATTCAACCTCTTGATACTTGCAGCCAGTGGAACAACAGCAGCGCCTTGTGCTTTGTTTTGACAAATTAATGGCAGATGTATCCCGAAGTTTAGATTCAAAAAACAGGGACAAGTTTACCCGGAACTTGACTGTTTTCAGGCATGACTTCCGTATGAAGTAGCTCTACTATTATGGACAGGAAATTCTTCTCGTAAATTATAATTTAAGCATATCATTTTGTCTTTCATATATGCTTCGATATGTTGGAGTACCTGGATGGGAGGTGCTGATTTCACCTCAAGATCAATGCGCAGGAGAATCGTGTTTTCTTTGTATAGTCTTGTTAGCACAGTAAAAGTAGGATCGATTTGGACATTAAATTTTAGTATACTAACATAATAGGTTCTAGTTCACTTAGTCTTATGCTTACAAACTGCTAGGATGAAGTTCTTTAATCATATGCCAGAATGCTACAGAGCAACAGGAAATCTTAGGTCAAGTTCATTTTTGTTTAGTAAAATGGAACGCGTTGGATGTCTGGATTGTACTAGTTGTACGTCCGACAGTTCTGCATATTTGTTTTGTACAAGAACTTCACAATTCTTTTGACTGTCGATAATGAAAAGATGAATCTGCTTGTATCCCTTCCTTTCTTTCATTTGTTCGCAGGAGTTATTTAAGCTGAGCACATGATTTGGAAACTCGCTTCTCTCCAATTCTTTGTAGCTTGCTTTTATTTGTTACTATTGAATGCTCAAACATATGGTTGTAGAGTGAAATATGGAGTGCTTGAATTTGACGGTCTAATTTCATCTGATTTCTTTATAATCCAAATTGAATTAGTAATTAAATTTGGATTGAAATTAAATTTGATCCGAATAATGTTCATTCACCCCTATATACAAAAAAGTATAGCACGAAACAAATAGATTAGGTAAAAACCTTGAAAATCAATTTCGGTTCAATTTGAAGTTTAAAGCCTCCACTGGTCATTTTTAGCTATTAGATTTTACTTTAATTTTTAGAACAAAATTAAACCTCAATTCTTCCAAAAATATTAGAAAAGAGAACTTATGATTTTAATTATTTATATGATTAAAGTTAAGATTTAATGTTAGAAACATGAGATATTGGAAAATATATTTGTGATATATTTTCCGTGGATATCATTAGGAGAATAATATATTTATGTTTATTTTATATTGAAATATTGTTTAGAGAAAATAAGTATATAAGATTTAGGGGTTATGCTAGTATATCTTTTAGAAAAATTATTGGAAAAATTGAAAAGAATAATCTCATCTTTGCTCAATCTGCTCAAAACAAGCCAACCTTTGCATATTCTGGGAACGGGCCAACCTTTACCCCTTATTTTCTTTAAACGGTCCCTTTTACAAGTTACCTGATTAGCAGGTTAACTTTTTTTTTTAAAAAAAATTTTCTGTAATCATCTTCAACACCATAATCACCAGCACCATTCACCATAACCACCACATCACCACCTAACACTCCATATTTATCCAAAGTAATTTATCCCCCCCCGAAATCCACCGTGTCGACCAGAGCTCTACCCCACCCAACCCCAAAATCAGACTCAATTTGATTTCCAAAGTAATCACAATGGTCAATTTGATTTACAAAGTAATTGAAGTTGAAGGTGCCTGAAAGTTTAAAGAAAGACTCAATTTGATTTCCAAAAGAAAAAATGGAGAGATTTGGTATAAACTTTGGCTGTGTAATTAGATCGCTTCACCATGGCCAAATTCTAGAATTAAAATTGCTTGCTTCGAGGTGGTTTTGTACGGCGAGGAAGGGCTGGGGGTGATTTCGGTCCTTGGGGTAAGTTGGATGAGTTATTCTGTATGGCTTTGTTGATTGCTGGTGGTGGGTTGGTGGCTTGTTGTTGTGAGCGGAAGGAGCTTGCGTGGTGATGGGCGGCTACTGGAAACGCTGGTGGATGCAGGTTTGTTGGTTGTGGTCAACTGGTCAAGGCTCGGTGGATGTGCGGCTTTGTTGATTGTTGGTGATGGGTCGGCCGGCGGGAAAGGGGGTAGCTATGGTGGTGGTGGGGGCTGAGTCAAGAGGAAGGAGGTGGTTCTTTTTTAATTTTTTTTTTCTTTTTTCTTTTGGGGTTTTTTTAATTATTTAAGCTAACAACCAATTAATAGGTGACACGTGGCAAGTCACCTTCTAAAACAGGTTACTAAATTATAAAATCGGTCAAAGACTTGTTTTAAGAAAATAGGGGGTAAAGGTTGGCCCGTTCACATAATACGTAGAGATTGACTTGTTTTGAGCAGATGGAGCAAATGTAGGATTATTCTTTTCACTTTTTCCAAGATTATTTCTTATCTTATGAGTTTAGGTTTTTGTATAAATACTCTAATTATTGATCAATGATAAAAGGAAAAATTGCCCAGAATAATCCCACCTCTAGGTTGTCCGCTAAAAATAATCTCACCTTTGGATTATTTTTAAATAATCCCACCTTTATACCCACCCCGCTATAAATGGTCCCAACCGGTCATTTAACTTGTTATACCAAGTTACCATACACGTGGTAGCCTGTAATTGGTCAAAAAAATAAAAATCAAATCAAATCAAATCAAATAAATCTTTTTTTATAAAAAAAAGTAAAATAAAAAATTAATATTCAAAAACCATCATCCACCCAAGCCAACCTCAACCCCATACACGCGGCTCCGGAAGACACGCGGCTCCGGCCATCCACGAAAACCCAGCTCCGACGTGCGACTTACCCCCTCCCCCTAAACCACCCCAACCCTCTTTCTCACTCCTTTCCCCGCGAAAACCCAAGCGAGCCACCACGATTTCTAGCCGCGTTGTCGAACCCCCTTAAACCCAGCTCCGGTGCGCCGACCACCCCCATGCCCAAATTCTGCTCACATCGATCTCCTCCGTCCACCGTTTCCAGCTGCATAATGGGCAATTGGTTCGTCCCCCAATCCCGGCCCCACCGAACTCCCTGTTCCCCGTTTCCACCCTGTCGAACTCCCTTGCCCATTCAACCCGTTTTCTAGGATTTGGTTTGGTGGGTTTGGTGGATTTTCGAATGGTTGAGTTAATGGGTTAGTGGGGTTTTGGGGTTGGGTTGGCTGGGTGGGGTTCCGGTGAGTGCGATATATCTCCATAGCGGTGGTTTCAGTTCTGGGTGGGATGGTGCCATGGTGGTTCTAGGGTTTGGCTTTGGGTGGTGGTGGGATGGTGGTGCTGGTGGTTTTTTTTTTTTTTGTTGTAAACCACCTGTGGATAAATATATTAAAGGAGGTCAATTTCCGCCAAAATTAAGAGGCTTTGGGGAAAAGGACCTAAACAAACGAGTTCGTTACAACCTCTAGAATCCCACCTTGCAACATGATTGGCTAGAGTATTACTCGCATGCTTAACATGAGAAAAAGAACAAACATCAAAGATACTAGAAAGATTACAAATATCATCGATAATAAGAGAGAAAGGAGTAAATCCTATAGCCTTCATCTTGACCCCTTGCACAACGTTCTTTGCATCACTCTCAAGCACAATCGAAAAATACCCAAGTCTGGCAGCCAATTGTAGACCATATCTACAAGTCGTAGCTTCTGCCAAATCTGGAGCCCAGCCAGCAGCCTCCTTCCGTACAGCAGGAGCTCGAATAATGCCATTCTCATCCCTGATGACTACCCTGAGACCTGTAGAGCTCCCTACATGTGCATCCACATTCACTTTAACTACACCCAAGCTAGGACATTCCCACTGTAATCCCCGTATTTTTAATATGTTATAAATGAAATTTAATTTTATTTGTAATATTGTTTTGTATTTTTCCGTAATTTAATTTCAAAATATTAAAATTATTAATTAGGGTCAAAAATTATTTTGGGACAAATTATTTTATGAACCTTCATTCTATAATTTATTTCAATACAACTAAAGCTTAGTCCATTTCATTCATTTGGCCCATTAATTTTATGAGACCCAATCTTTCTACTTACCCTACAACGTTCTCTCCTATAAATACCCCATGAATCCCCAAAAAATTTCCACACAAAAAGGTTAGTCTTATTTTCTTTCTCCTTTGTTTTATTAATTTGTGTAATTATAATTATTGATTTATGGGTTTTGATTTTATTGTTTGAAATTAATTTAATTAGTATCAAATTGTATTTTGATGATTAAATTTGATGATTTCAGATTTTATAAATGTCATAATTTTCAGATTTTGCAAATTTTATAACCTAGGGTTTTTAATTATTGAAAATCATGATTTTAGGGTTTTTATGAACAATTGATTTAGGGCTTTTATAGTAATGATGTTTTGAAATTTTGGTGATTGTAACTAATGATTAGTTTAACTTAATTTCAGATTATTTTGAACATGTAATTCGTGTTTTAATTTTTAGATTTTCGTTCGTTAATATTAATCCCGTTTTAATCCCGGTCGGGTTTTGAACTCATCAGATTTTGATAAAAAAAAAAATTACAGTTTTCCATGTAGAAACAACGTTTTAAGAATGACTCACTACTTTAGTAGTGAGCACCACCCTCTAGTGGCCAAACTCAGCCTCTAAATATGATTTTCGGGCAGTTTTTGATTTTAACGAAGTTTTTTTTATACTTAAAATATTATCCTTGAGTTTGATTGATAAAATTAATTATGTTTAAAGTTAATTAAGCATAAATATATGTTTTTATTGAAGTTTTAAGTGCTGGAAATAGTTTCTAAGTATTACTTTTGATGTTTTATAAAGAGGGTTTAATCACCCATTAAAAAGGGAGATTATTAGGGGTTTTTAAATAATTTTAAGATTTTTATTAAACTTTAAACTTGCTGTAATTTCATGTATAAGAGTGTATTTTAAGGTTTTTATGAAGAAAATTTAAAGAACTATATATAAGCCTTTAATTTTAACTAAAGGGAAGGTTTTAAAGTGTTGTTTGATTTGGATTTTGAAAGTTTTAAAGTAAGTTAGTATTGCTGTAAATTTGATTGATTAGGTATTGATTGAGATTTTATTGTTTGGTTTAGGAGAGGAGTTTATTGAAGGTGATTTCTAGTTTTAAAGTGGCCAACCGAATTGTTTACACAAGGTACGTACAAGTTACGAAACCTTGCGTTTAGGTGCATGTTTAAGGACGAATCGAAAACTTAGTATCATGTATAGGGATGACTGGGTTAAATTGTTTGGTTATACATTGTGAAATTCATGTGATGTGCACTATTTTATATTGCAAGTATTATTTGTGCTCTAATTATGCAAGGTGCACTTAGAGGCAAAAGTATGTGATTGGTGTAAAGATTAATTTATTACTCATTCATGATTATGCAAGCAGGATGAGTAAAGGAAGAATTCAAGTCTTATAAGACGAGGTTAATGTTTTTGGGTGCCTTATGCATTCAAGGTGTTTATACACCTAGGCAGTTAAAGGAATAAATAATAAATGTTGCTTGTCACTAATAAATCAAGAATTGAAATTGGAAAGTTGTTTTACTTGATTGAATTGATATTGGATTGATTGTATTGTTTGCATATGAGTCATCACCAAGTCTAAACCTGTAAATTACGTAAAGTGTAAGATGGATGAGCAATAAAACTTTGGATTGGTGCACTTCTGGAGTAATGACAATCAGGGGTTGGGGTACACGGGGTATTAGCCATGTAGTTTTCTCGAGGTCTTCTGATCTAAGAGTCTCTTATTTCAAATACTTTTCAAAACTAGGAGTTAGGTGAGATCTCATACTAACTACGGTCACGGAGTCGCGCCCGTGGTCGTTGAATGTTTATTGATGTTTCCGAAAGGAGGCATGGGGTTTTTCTTTTATTGATGTTCCAAATGGGACATGGGTTGGACAACCTTGTCTATTGCTAAAATCCAATGGAATAAATAAATAAGTTAGTTAATATCAACTAGTGAGGTCATAATAAATTTGATAATTGAGCCACGTGTTGAGTCTGTATTTTAATGATGCTTCTGCTTGATTATTAGTAGCATGTTAGGTATTTCTTAATTTATTTCGCAGCTTGTATGTACTCAGCTTTGCTGATTGCGTGCTTTTGTGTGTGTCTTTCTTTGGTCATGGCCTTCGCCTTTCAATGACCCTGTGACGATCCAATTTTTACACTTGTAATATTGGGGAGCAGATTAACCACATGTTCTTACACATGCAACATCTGTTTCTAGATGGTGGGATCTTGAGTGGAGTGTTGGTTACTTTTCTTATTTTATTTGCTATTTACATTTAAAGTTGTTTAAACTCAACTTTACTTTCATACTATTTCTATTAGTTTAAGTTTTGAATAAGGGCCTTAAGGATTCCAAGTTGTAAAATTTAATTTGGTTTTGGTTATTGGTTTTGAAACCTATATATATTTGTTTTAGTTTTTCCGCTGCTATTTTCTGATAAAACCTTAACGTTTGAACATGTGGCGGTATCACGCTAGTAATTCTCTTAGAATTGTTCAGGTTATTCACAGGTTTAAAGAGAGAGTTATTGGGGTGTTACACCCACGAGTTTGCTGATGAAGACCTTTGAGCTCCACCACGCAGGAACACCTTATTAACATATTCAACATAATCATGGACTGATTTTGTCAGATTAGTTGCAATACTTATGGGACATTGACTTCCATTATCAAACGTGATCTTATTTCGACACCACCAAGCAGCCCAAGCTAGAGTTACCATCGATCTCAGCTCCTCGCTTGTGGAATGTGAAGCCAGTCACAGAAATCTGTCTCTGAAACATGTGACAGGAGCTTGAGTAGTGAGTTGGATGAAGTTGCTCGCTGCCCAAATGTCTCGTGCAGCCCTGCATTCAAAAGTGGCGTGAATCACTGTCTCATCTCCGCAACCACAAATTGAGCACATTTTATCAGCCACCATATGTCGATAATGTAACCTTTCCCTTACAACAAGAAAGCCCTTGCAGGCCCTCCATAAGAAATGGGCAAGCTTCGGGGGTCCCTTAAGACCCCAAATAATTCTCCACGCCTCATCATGTGGCTGTCTTTGGACAGTAGCAGGACCTTGTTTTGCAAGCCAGTATCCAGATTTCACAGAGTACTCCCCACTCTTATTTGGCCACCAATACATCCCATATTTCATACTACAATACGACAATGGTATTGACATAATTTGTGTTTGTTCAGCAGCATTAAAATTATCTCTAATCACCTTAACTCGCCAAGACATTGTCTCATGGTCAATTAAATCGCATACTCACAACCCCAACTCACTATTAGGTAAGGGTGTACACTACAAAAAAATGTCCATATAGAAACGGAATTCTAGCGATGGAATTTTATCCGTTTCTAAATTAGAGACGGAATAAAAATATCCGTCTCTATATTAATTTAGAGACGGAATTTAAAAATCCGTTTCTAAATTAGAGACGAAATTAAAAATTCCGTTGCTAAATTAGCAACGGAATTGAAAATCCGTCTCTAAATTAGAAACGGATTTTTTTTCCGTTGCTAAATTAGCAACGGATTTATTTTCCGTTACTAAATTTAGAGACGGATTTTTTTTTTCCGTTGCTAAGTTAGAGACGGAAATTTTTTTTCCGTTGCTAATATGAGCGAAGGATTTTTGATTCCGTCTCTAGCTAGATAATTTTTGAAACTAATTATTTAAAATATTACATACATTAGATACGAATTATGTAAGTTAAATTCATCTCTAAACTAGAAACGGATTTTCAATCCGTCTCTAAACTAGAAACAGATTTTAAAATCCGTCTCTAAATTAGAGACGGATTTCAAAATCCGTTTCAACATTAGAGACAGATTTTAAATTCCATTTCTAAACTAGAGACGGATTTTAAATTCCGTCTCTAATATTTCTTTCATTTATTATCAATTATGTGCATAAAAGTAAACAAATAATATTTGGTATAGTTTGTACGAGTTTCACTATTTGACATTGAGGTCACGGGTTCGACTCCTACTAATAGCAATATTGCGATTCGAGATTAAAGGAAAGTCGAGTCGGGTTGACCCGAGTAAGGTCGACCCAAATAGCAACTCTTTTTTGGATTCAAAATATTTTTTCCCGTTGTTGAATCTAGCAACGGATTTTTTTTTTCCGTTGCTGAATCTAGCAACAGATTTTTTTAATCTGTTGCTAAAGCTAACGACAGATTTATTTTTCCGTTGCTAAATCCAGCGACGAATTTATTTTTTCCGTTGCTAAATCCAGCGACGGATTTGTTTTTTCCGTTGCTAAGTCCAACGACGGTTTTTTTTTTTCCGGTCTCTAAGTTTATTTAGCGACATGGTTTTTACCAACGAAGTGATTCCGTCGATATATCCGTAGCTAGCTATGTCCAGCGATGGATTTTTAGCAATAAGCAACGGATTTCACCTGTTGCTAAAAGGCCAAATTTTTGTAGTGGTAGGAACACACACCGAAGAATTTCCTGGCAGCCATGTGGATTCCCAAACCGAAATGTCACACCCGTTTCCCACTCTCCATTTTAATCCCTCCAAAAGCAGAGATTTTGACCCCCACATGCTACTCCACGTATAGCTCGAGTCATACCCTCGAAAAGCATCCAACACATCACAATTTTTAAAATATTTTGCTTTTAGAATAGAATGCAAGAGAGTACCTTTGTTATGGTGGAGGCGCCAAACTTGCTTTGCCAAGAGAGCTTGGTTAAAGCACCGAAGGTCACGAAAGCCTAATCCACCCATATTCTTCGGTTTGCATAAATATTCCCATTTCTGCAATGTAGCTTTTTTGTCGATCCCGTCGACCCCCACCAAAAGCGAGCTAAGAGAGCATGAAATTCATCAATAATACCATCGGGTATCCGTAGAATACTCACCATATAAGTCGGGATGGCCTGAGCTACCGCTTTGATCAATACTTCTTTTCCGGGCATATATAACAATTTCTCCTTCCAACCCTGCAACTTCTTCCAGAGATGCTCTTTTAAGCCTGCAAAAATAGTTATCTTCGATCTACCAATAATCGTCGGCAAGCCAAGGTACTTCTCATGCCTGTTAACTCCCGAACCCCAAAGTATCCACAATTTCTTTCCGACAAAAGGGACATACTTTTTTGCTAAAAGCCACTTCAGTTTTATCAAAATTAATCTTCTAGCCCGACGCTCTTTTATGTTTGCTAATTATATTAGCTATCACAGAGCACTCTTGAGTATTAGCTTTAGCAAACAAAATACTATCGTCAGCAAAAAATAAATGTGAAATCCGGGGGGGGGGGGGCACCATAACATACTCTAGCACCATGAACAAGACCATCTCTATCACCTTACAAGTTTTTTTTTTTTTTTTTTTTTTTTTTTTGTAAAAATTTGACCAATCAAGTAGCTACACTTGTCAAATAAACTAAAAAAAAACCTTATACAACCGGTTCCAGGTAAAATGGGACCATTAAAAAAGATCAGGGGTAAAGGTGAGATTATTTAAAAATAATTCAAAGGTGGGATTATTTTAGCGGACGGCCCAAAGGTGCGTGGGATTATTACGGGAAATTTTTCCATAATAAAACATGCCACTCATTGTCTATTTCACCATAATTTGTTATGGTATCAGAGTCAAATTAAATCTTAAAACCGTTTACCAAAAAAAAAAATCCCTTGATACATTTTTTGATATCTCATATCTCTAACATTTAATTATATAATAATAGTTATTACACACAAGTTTGTAAGTAAATAATTGAAAAGTAGTCTTCATAATACTATATACTAAAGTAATTAAAAGGGGGGACACTTGGCATTATTTTGTGAAAAAAATTTCCCTCCAAAATGCTCAGCTTTTTTTTAAAAGAAAAAAATTAAAATTATTTTAATAAATTATATATATAACACATAAGAATTTAAAGGATAGACATTAATAAATTCAAATTAAAAAAAAAAAAAAAAAAAAAAAAAACAGTTGCATAAGCCATTTTTTAGGTATGTTACATGTGTCATTTAATTTCAATGAACTCTTTTTCAATTGACTATTACTCGTATTATTAATAAATCATACTTTATTAATTCGTGCAAGGGGCCAAAACTAGTCCTACCTATATAATAAAGATCGCCATCACATTGGGGACACTTGGCATTATTTTGTGAAAAAAAAATTTCCCTCCAAAATGCTCTGCTTTTTTTTAAAAGAAAAAAAAATTGAAATTATTTTAATAAATTATATATATAACACATAAGAATTTATAGGATAGACATTAATAAATTCAAAAAAAAAAAAAAACTCTGTTGCATAAGCAATTTTTTTAGGTATGTTACATGTGTCATTTAATTTCAATGAACGCTTTTTCAATTGACTATTACTCGTATTATTAATAAATCATACTTTATAAATCCGTGCAAGGGGCCAAAACTAGTCCTACTTATAAAATAAAGATCGTCATCACATTGGAGATTGTTTCCGGACATCAAATATACATACTTGATTTCTTTCTGATTAACCTCGATTATTATGATCAATTATTATTAGAAAGAATAATAATTAGGACAAGTGATGATTATGCAAATAGATTTTAAGCAGTAAATATCAAATTATGAGTCACCTAATCTAAAACGACCCAATTAAATTCAATTTGAATGACCTAATACACGTGTCACCTCTACAAACTTAGCAAAATAATACCTCTACAATGTTCAATGTTTTATTTTGGAAAGGACCTCTATTTTGAGGAGATGTTTGTCAAAGGTTGTTTTATTATGGAATAACCATAAAGGTGTTATTATTTATTTATTTTTTTGAAAAAAAAGGTTAGAGGTTGTATTATTCTTGACAATTCTAATAATAATTAAGGCAAATGTGAGGTGTGGTTGTAAGACTTTTGTTCGATTCATGTTGATCATGACATTTAATGATGTGTAAGACATGAGATAGTTCACAATTATAAAATGATGCCTAGTGACAAAAAGGTTTTGGCTAAGGTCACAAAGACAAGTGACTAAAGAATAATTATTCACCCCCACTACGTTAAAAGATAATGATATTGGGATAACTGATGCAATTTAACTTAAGAGGAATGAAGTTGGGAGTTATGTATGATGGTTTAAGTTTTGTTGCAAGGGATGCATATAATGGAGTTAGTAAAGTGAAGACAAGGAAGCATCTTAATGGCTATGAACAAGTGATACAAGAGAACAATTAAGGGTATTTCAACAAAGAAAATTACCAAAACCCGATTTTTATTTTTATTTAAAAGTTGATGATAAAAGGGCATATAGTTTTTCTTCTTCTACTTGTTGTTCTTCTTCTTCTTTTTTTTTTTTTTTTTTTTTTTGTTTTTTTTTTGAAAGATGGAACAATGAAGATAGATTATTAATTATTTGGGGACTTATTTGTGCATGATACAACATATATTACTAACATGTACGACTTAATTTGTGGGTCTTTAGTTGATATGAATTAAGAAGACGTCTCAAGACTTTCTTGAATTTTATAGGAGGCATACATCCTATTACTATAATAATCAATCAATTTGTGGGACTTTTGTTGGTGTGAATTACCACACTATGAATTAAATGTTTGGAATGAGTATTCTTTTGGATGAGAAGTCTTCTCTTTTGTTGATGTTTCTTTTTGTTAAGCGTATGTTTTTTTTTTAAAAAAAAATTTAGACATTAAATTAATGCGCGCTTTTAGTCTAATTTATAATGCATTGGAGGGGGGGGCATGGGTGGTGCACCTATAATGATCCCGAGTCTGTATTATAAGAATTGAGAAGGATGTAAGATCAGAGAAATAATAAATTTTGTAGAATTGAGAACCATAGATATTAAAAAACACGTAGTAGTGGAGAATGAGAGGCGGGGATGAGATTTATATACTCTATCACACTACCTCACATGAGTGCCCTTTGGGATTAAAAGTGGATGTAGCATAACACTCCTCATACCCAGCGCGATATATTTTACATGAAAGAAGAAGTAGATGAGATTTGAACCCGCAACCTCTGTGTCACACTAACCCTTGATACCATGGAAATGGAAGACTGTAATATGTTGTGTGATATATTTCAAGATAACAAACACTCTCACGCAGTCACACTTGAGTATGATTCAGTCATTTAGAAATAGAGAATTTTCCCAATGTCATGGAATATGGTCAATACCTCACGTTATAGAAGGAAACAACTTTTTTATGGTATAAACTTTCCTTATTTTACGCTTGCCAAAAGATTATTTCTATCAATAAAGTCTTTCAAAATTATAATATGTAAAAATTGTTATAACTAAATATTATTAGAAGTATAAATCTAGGTATTTGAGGCGAATCTACAAAATTCCACATGCTAATTTATTTTCTTATATTTTGTATAAATCATCAAGATAGTCAAAGTATATAAATAGTGAAATGAAAGAATTATTATTTTCAAAAACATTTTTATTTACAATAAAAAGATAGGCAGGAGGTTAACCAATTGGTTGTTGGTGCAGTGGTGATTGAGACTACACTTAATAGGGAGGACCCGTGCTTGAATAATAATTGAAAGGGGATTGAAACCTAACTACTCAAAAGAGTAGTCAGAACTAGGGGTGTTCAAAAATACCCGTCCCGTTTGACCCGACCCGTTGACCCGCAAAGTACCCGGCGGGTATTTTTTTTCCATTTTTGCGGGTCGGGTCGCTAAAATATTAGATTTGCGGGTCGGGTAATGGGCCGCCCTTTGAGTGTAGCGGGTACCCGCTAAATACCCGTTTTCTTTTTTTTTTTTTTTCTTTTTTTTGGCTGGAAATCCGGAATTCCCTCTACTTGGGAATTAGGGTTACTCATACTCACTTATTGGGCTTGTGAGTTGTGAGTAACCGCATCTCACATACTCACCCCTCATCTCTCTCCTCTCTCCTCTCCCTTCTCTCAAACATTCAAACGCTCCCTCTTAGGCGACGACCACCATCCTCCCTCTCAAGCGACGACCATCGTCCTCCATCTTAGGCTACCACCGTCCTCCCTCTCAAGCGAACACCGATCTCACTCCGCCATCCCTCAACATCAGCCGCATTTTTTTTTTTGGTGGAAGTAGGTAATCTGGTATTGTTTGAAATTGCTAGCCATTGTTAAGCCAACACACTACGACGACGGGGGAAATTGAGTGGTGGCAGAGGAAATTGAGATAGGCCAGAGTATTTGATTTACGAGATTTTTTTTTTCTTTTTGGGAATAATGGGTGAAATTGATTGTAACACTGCCATATTGGTACTTCATTTCACTTCTTTCAACAAGCAATAGAGTAGATCTGAAGATATTTAATTAATTTCATTGTTTTGTAAAATTTAATGTTGTTTAATCGGGTACCCGTGACCCGATCCGCAAAAATCGGGTACCCGATTACCGGATACCCGCCTTTCGCGGGTCGGGTCATCGGCCGAGTAATTGACTACCCGCCTTACCCGAAAACCTGGGTATCCGATAATGAACAGCCCTAGTCAGAACTGATCCCCGAATTCGAATTAGGGTAAAGGTAAACGGGTAAAAAAAAATGAACGTAAAAAAAAAAAAACTGTTACCCAAGTTTGAGGAAAACTAGAGGGAGTACCGGAGTAGTAACAAAAGGGGAAAGTATATTTTAATACAAGATCAATTCGCTGGACATTTTCTACACAAACACATGCACAATCTATCATAAAACCAAATCTCTCTCAACTTCTCTCCTCATTTTCTGTAATCATCATCTCTATGAAAGCTGAAGAATTTCCAGATAAATACAAAGTCGCTGTTATTGGCAGCGGTAACTGGGGAAGTGTTGCTGCCAAGCTAATTGCATCCAATACCCTTAATTACAACATCTTCCATGGTAATATCAAAACATTCTATAGTTTTTACCTGCAATTTTTGTATACGAATATACAATTGATTGAAATTTTGGATTTTTTTTTTTTTTTTTTATTGATTTATGATGTTTTTGATGTCCATCAGATGAAGTTAGGATGTGGGTATTTGATGAAACATTGCCCAGTGGAGAGAAATTGTCCAATGTTATCAATCAAACCAATGTAAGGTGAAATATTTGTGTCATATTCATGTTTGTATTATTTAATAGACAAAGTAATATTTATGAGATTATGATCATGAATTATTATGTAGATGATATAGTGGCCCATGTAAAATTAAAGTATTAGGAGCACAAATCACTTAGAGGTTGTATCATGAATTCTAAATTGATACCCCCTCTTATCCCAAATGTTATTCACATTTTGAATCTGTACGTGCGCCAATGCATTACTTTGAAGTTCGATCATATATATCTACAGTTGGATATTAGTATAGAATAGGAAAAATTGCTCCATTAATCCAAACTTTGCGTCGTCCGCCAATAATAATCCCTACTTTCACCCTATTAATTTCTATTGAACCCAACCGATCATCCAACCTAATATTACAGTTTAAAAGACACGTGTCAGCCTATAATTGGCTAAAAAAAACAAAAAACAAAATAAAAACCCACAAACCAACCATGCCCAGAAAACACCACACCCCCACCCCGCCGAAAAATCGGCCCCTGACGAAAAATCGGCCCCATCCCCGAAAACCCCTCCCCCGCTGCCGGAAACCGCCGCCTAGCCCTCCCCCTCCCTCGAAACTCACCCCTTCCCTTCCCCCACCCCCGAAAACCCCTCCTCAACAGCCAGCCACCTCCGGCAGCGGCGCGGTAGCCCTGCCACGCCAGTTCCCCAGCCGTTTTCGTCCCTTCCCCGCCGATTTCACCCCCTTCCCCACCGATTTCGGCCTAGACCTTCCTTTCCCCTTTGAATTCCTCCCCTTTCCTCGTCGACTTTCGCCCCTTTCCCCTAACCATTGGCAACCGGCGATAATCAGCTACGAAATCGGCCGGTTTAGGGTTGAAATCAACCATTCAGCCCCAATATCGGCCATTTGTGGCCAATTTTCGTGGTCGATTTTGGGGAGAGGGGTTGCTTTGTGGCCAATTTTTGAGGGGAAACGACCGTTTAGGCTTGTGATGGGTTTTTCGGTACTCGGTAGTAATGGCTAGGAAGGGAGTGCGTCGGTGGTGGTGGTGTGGTGAGGAGGGTGTGCGTCGGTGGTGGTGGAGGTACGACAGTTAGTTTTAGGAATTTTTTTGTTTACATTTTTTTTTTATTTTCTCTTTTTTTTTCAATCAATTACATATTGACACGTGTGCAAAAAAAACTAATTCAAAAATGTTTACCTAATTAACCGGTTGCAAGTCATTTGAGTGCTATAGAAATTAATACCCCCTAAAGTTTGGAGTGATGGTGAATAATCCAAAGTAGGGATTATTATTGGCGGACGAGGCAAAGTTGAGATTAATGGGGTAATTTTTCCTATAAAATATAACATTTGAATATTAGTAAACTAATCATTGTGATGAATCAATTAAGACTCAACATGATTATTTTTTTTTCATGTGTTGTTAGTAATTTAGAACATTTTCTCAAACTTATGAATAGTGTTAAGACTCTAAATGGGAAGAAGCATTAGAGAGAGTACTATACTGCTATGTTTGGAAATGAGTTAAAGGGTCTATTCTATTGGACTTATTTGTCTAAACTTATCTTACATTTTGTATGTACTTTTTTAGACCTTATTTTGTCTTAAAAGTTTGTTGAACTCTTAGTATGTCCGAACTCAATTTGTTTGAACTTATTCGAACTATTACTATCTATTTTGTTTGAAACTAGTTAATATACTCAATATAAGTCGAATACAATAAGGCCTAATGCTTATGCTGAACTCTTAGGTTTATGTTTATAGTGAAACCCTATTATAAATGAAAATAACATTTGTTTGTAGTTGTTTCATTTCATCATTTCACCTAATGTCTAAAGATCTTGCCTTTCAATAAATGTTTCATTTTACTTTTATTTATTTTTTTATTCGCTTTTAATGGACCAAATTACATTATCTTATTTTATATCAAATTTAAATTAACAAAACCCCAATATCTTGCTTATTTTTATTTTTATTTATTTATTTTAAATATATAATCATCATTAACTAACCAAATTCTATTGTCTTACATCTTTAATTTACCATCATAAAAATGTGTGTTAAAAGCATATGGGATTTTTATTGGAGATGGAGTATTGATAGTGAATGGAATATGATATAATCACATCATCCTTTTAATTGGTAGTATTGCTTGATGAGATGGATCATTTGTCATTTATGGATGTTTATTTTTGGGTATTTTCATAGATAAATGTGAAGTACCTCCCTGGCATAGAGCTTGGTAGAAATGTGATTGCTGACCCGGACCTCGATACCACAGGTATTATATATTATCTTTGCTTGAAATTATGGATCACATATACTTCACTTATTTGCAAATATTGAGCACATTCTGTTTGTAGAGAGGTACGAGGTTGAAATTAGGAATGAAATCACGGTGAATTAGTTTAGAATTTGATAGTAATACTATGTATTTAATTTTGTTTTAAAATTGATTTTTTTTTCTTCTATTTGATATCTAAAGGTATTGGTTTGATGGAATTAAAATTCTTATTGTTGTCAACAAAACACATGTGGAAACCCATACCTAATACCTAAATTTCGTGAACTAAACATCCCTTAAGGGTTTGGTAAGTTTTTTGGTTGATAATGGGGTAATAAAAATAACTAAAAACTGATGATTAAAGATAATTAGTGGTGAGAGGACCCACATAACATGAAATATGAATGGAGAATATGAGAGAAAAAGAGTATCTGAGTGGGTCCACAATAATAATAAATACATAACATGAAATATTTCATTTGTCTTTTAGTCCTATTTGAGGATAGCTCGAAAACATTTGTCTTATTTCTTGAAGCTGTAGTGGTTTGTGATTGATTTTTCATAATTTTTTTTTAAAAAATGTATCCTTAGGGCCTGTTCACTTCTGCTTAATTTCAGTTCAGCTCCAATCAGTTTAGATCAGTTCAGCTCAGCTCCTAATTTCCCTCTCTAATAAAATATTCATTTCATTTCAGTTCACCTCCAATCAGTTCAGTTCAGCTCGTTCAGTAAATGTGAACAGACCCTTACTAAAGTAAGTGATATGGGGGAGAGAATGAGGTTAAAACAACTATGAAAAGATATATATGTGAATCATGTCTAATTCTTTGATTCGAATGGTTGGGACTATGTAACAATTAATTTTAGGAGGGAAATTGGAAAAAGTTAGCTACGATGTTATTGAGGAATCAGAATAGTTGTGTCCAATTTCCTCTTCTTCATATGGTTTAGAGTTCCTTAAATATTCATACTGCCCCTTAGAAGTGATTACAATTTTACTATTTAGGTGTATTTTTGCACCAAGAGATTTGACAACAAAGGCTAATATGTTCATTAAGAAGCATCAAATGTGTAGACATCTACAAATACAGAGTTTCAATTTACTGCTTCAGCCTTGATACATACAAATGAAACTATTAATTAAGATGACACTTTTTTAGTACTCAATATCCAATTGTCACAATGTTAAAGATATCTAAATGAGAATTTTGGCTTGGTAGAGTGGGTTTATATTATTCTGTTCAGAAGCTCTACTCAAGATTAACTTGTATATTCTTTAATCATTATAGTTCAATGGTATATTTTTTTTCTTTTTAATTCATTTTATTGTTTTGGTTGGGTGAACTGTGTGCAGTCAGAGATGCTAACATGCTGGTATTCGTGACACCACATCAGTTTGTCGATGGTGTTTGTAAGAGACTAGCTGGAAAACTAAGGGGTGATGTTGAGGCTATTTCATTGATCAAAGGCATGGAGGTCAAAGTTGACGGCCCACACATGATATCCTATGTAATCTCTAAGCAACTTGGAGTCAATTGTTGTGTTTTAATGGGGGCAAATATTGCTGATGAGGTATTTATTTGTTTATTTTATTACTGACTTTATTGTACCTTTGAATGAGATCTGGCCTATTGATCTATCCCTTGGGTAATCAGAATAACTGATTCTTCTTTTGTAGATAGCTGAGGAGAAGTTTAGTGAAGCAACATTAGGATATAGTGAGAATAAAGAGGTTGCAGATAGGTGGGCTCGACTATTTGCCACACCCTATTTTGCTGTCACAACTGTGAGTTTATTTTTTATTCTTTTGGAATTTCTTCTGAAATTAGAACATTTCATGATTTATTCCATCTGCGCTATGTCTTCTCGCAGTCTCAAATACACCATTATAATTGTTTCATGAAAAACAGATTCAAGATGTGGAAGGAGTGGAATTATGTGGTACACTAAAAAATGTAGTGGCAATAGCTGCAGGTTTTTCTTTTTTTAGCACTTGCTCTTTTCGATCGAAGATTATTGATAAGAGTTAATGCATTCAATGGATAATGACCATAGAGTGCTCTACTTACAGGATTTGTTGATGGCTTGGATATGGGGACTAATTCAAAAGTAAGCAAAGTTTTGTGAGTAAATATTCTATGGCTCAAAGTGTATTTCAAAAGTAAATATATGTCCAAAATATATTCAAAATGCTGTGAAATTCTATTTAGCTGGATTTGTTGCTTGGTATAGGTCACATGTGGCTGCAAGAGTAATCAGAACGGTCTATTTAGCTAGATTTGTTGCTGGTAGGTCACATGTGGCTGCAAGAGTAATCAGAATGATTTATTTCAGGCAGCAATCATGAGAATTGGCTTGAATGAAATGAGGGCATTCTCCAAGCGACTGTTTCCATCGGTTAGAGAGGACACTTTCTTTGAGAGTTGTGGAGTTGCTGATCTTATCGCTACTTGTTGTAATATCTCAGTTCACGTTATTGTTTGATTGATTGTTTTTTTTTTTTTTCAAAAACATTCTTTCAACTTAGTATGCTCAATGGTTTTTCTTTGACAGTTGGAGGAAGGAACAGAAAAGTTGCAGAGGCTTTTGCAATTCATGGAGGAAAGAGGTATAGATTTTGTAAAACTTTTTTTTTTATGTTTCCCTACAATGAATATTTTGTGGTGATTGATTGTTTCAGGCAAATGCTAATCTAGTGTTAAATTTAAATCGTGCTAGACCCTTTAAGGAGCTGGAAGCTGAGATGTTGCAGGGGCAGAAATTACAGGTAGACTGTTAAAAATCTTCGTATCCATTGGATGCATATGGAAAATGAAATATATACATCTTAAAAGACAATGTTAGACTGCATGTTTCAAGCATCTGATTCTAGAGAGAAGTTAATCAATATCTCGGATGCTCTTTTTATTTATTCGACCAGCAATATAATTTTCTGATACAGTTAATGATGTTTATTCCACTTATAGCAGCCTCTGTCTTTATTTTCTTGAAGGGTGTCTCGACAGCTAAAGAGGTATACGAGGTCTTAGAAAGCAACAGATGGTTTGATTCATTTCCCCTTTTCAGAACAATACACGAGATTTGTATCGGATCTTTACCGCCGTCTGCCATTGTGCATTATAAAGCAGAAGTACATCCAAGCTCTTTCCAACAGAAACTGTGAGCTGATACAATACCCTAACCAATTTCTATCCTTTTTTTTTTCCTTCCCAACTTCCAAATCGATTTACACTGCAAGTTTAAAAAATTATTGACCTCTTTGGGGTTGAAACTAAACATTGGGTTCAGCTCTGCTATTTTGACTGAAACCAAGTTAAATTCTCTCTAATTGTTGTAGTGAGAGTCAGCGGATGAAGTGTGTAGCACAATCTGTAATCTGTATCTTCAACCTATCTGTGAAAGTGTGAACTTTATATACCTTGGAGCATATATACCATGAAAAGATACATGATACACATCAAAATTCAATGGCTTTCTTATAGAAACTGTATTGAATTTGATAAAACCGTAAATTTCATCAAATGAATTATGTAGAAAAACTTTGAATGTATGAAGAGGAATTGAGAATTTTTATTGATTTTAAGATAGTGAGAGAAACTCTTACAAACTCAAAATTTGAGGAAAATATTATGAATTCTCATTTCTCACAATTTACGTATTTTTGAAAGGAGCTAAGCTTTTTACATCCTAAAAACTTTCTTACAGAATTGCATTGTCATATCAAATTATCTAAAAACTTCTTGCTGAGGTGGACAAGGTCATTTGATCACCAATTTTCTTGAGCTTAACTTGCTGTGATTTATTGCCCTGCATCTGCTGCTGCTAGAGTGAACTTGAACCAAATCACCTTACTGGGAATATTATCCAACAAACTCTGCTGATTTTTCTTCCACCAACTGAGTGTGTGAGTTCAGAATCAGCAGTTGCATGTAAAGACGGGTGTAACCTAAACCAGTTGGCAACTCTATTCAATTATTCATATGTTATCCTATCTTCGACATTATATGTGAGCTCCACCCACAGTTTTCATGGCATTCCTTGTGCTTTTCTACCTTTTAGAATGATTTAGGGTCGTAAATGTGTCAACCTTTTAGCAGGAACAAAAGGAAGCGCAAACCTGAGATCAATCAGTGGATACATTAAAAGAGTTTTAGTCTCTCTAACTAATTTTGCATCAACATTAAATAATTACTTGATACTTTGTATATGGAGAGAGTACACTGATAACATGAAAGCGAATTACAAGACTGAAGCCATTTGCAACGAGAATGGATCATAATATAGGTAGCAAATGGATCACTTCACCTCTGTGGTCTTTATTCTAGTATATTACTTTTATGAAAAAAGAAAAAAAAGAAAAAAAAAAGAAAGAAAAAAGGCAAGACAAAATGAAAATCACAGAAACATTGTGACTTAGCCCTCATATTGAGCAACAGTAGTTGCAGCAGCCGCTACTGCAGGTGGAATCTCAGCTTCAGGATCGTAATCTTCATGGCAGCAGATGAATGAATTGAACCTATGCATGTGGCGACGGCACTCGGGGCATAGCATACTTTTTGGAATTCTCACACTGGAGGGGAACTCAATCCTATGGCATGGGTATTCCTTCATATGAAGTTCTTTGTAATGACTTTCAAACCCCACTTCGAATCCCTCTCTTATAGCACGCTCCTTCCATATCTCCATTTCTTGAAGAGCAGTCAGAGCAAGCTTACCCTGACCATGGACCACTATTTTTGAGCCTTTGGCTAGGACTGCCCAGCCACCATGAGATTTGTCATGGCTGTGGAGCCTTTGTATCTCTTGCAGTATGATATCTGCATGGTCGTGGACTCTCCCTAATTGAATCTTCGAGAAGATCATGCTCTCAATTCTTGTCCAAAAATACCAAACAAAGGTTGGGTCTTGCCAACAGTGGCTCAGTTGTTCCATTGTTATAGCTGCACAAACCTTACGCACCAGTTCCTTGTTATGGCTCCTGCCAACATAGACCATTTCAAGTGGAACTCGCAGAGCTCGCGATACAGTATGTGCTTCGTTTGTAAACTTTCTGATCCATTGTAGGTCATCTCCTCCATACAAGAAAATGTACTTCTCTTCTCTGATCTGTTTGTAGGAAAGTTACAGGTTTACTTGAAGTTAGTGTAGAAATAATTTACCAATAGTACTTTTGACAGGACTAAAGGTACTAAAATTAACATAGAATAATTGAAGCCATGACAAGAAGAACAAGAACCTACTATGAATGTTGGGATAATTTGGTGAGTTTCAGTTATGCAATCTTACCCTAATTTTGAGGGTTTTTTTCCCTTTATATGGTCACTGTAGACTAGTTTATTTGATCTATTAGCTTAAATTCTTTTGATTTTCTATTGCAGATGGTCTTGGATACTCAAGTTGCGAAAACACTTCTTTAAAGGTTTCCCTCTCCTGCTAAACAAGTACGCTATTTACTGCACTAATGTCAGATTATCAGCTCCACCAGTTTTCTCTATGGTCTAATTGCCTTCAAATCATTGAGCTGTTTTGATTGAGAGTTTTGTGGTTGAGCTTCCTATTTTAAATTTTCTGCAACTAGTAATCTCGTCTAAAATTTTCATGGCTGTTGGAATTGTGTCATGCAATACTCTTTACAAACTAACAAGAAACTGCATGTATGATGTATGGGCATATGAATATTTCAATAATTCACTTAAGGTGGGCATGCAATTGGACTTTGTGGGGGCTTTCTGTGCTCTTGATGGGTATATAAGATTAAAGGGCTGTAACCATTCATATTATTATGAAAATTATGATTGTGTTTTGTTTACTGGTTTATAACCAAATAGTAGTAAACTACTCAAAGTTTGCCTGGTTACATAAAAAATTTCTTAAAAGCAGAACCTGTATGTTTGCAAGTAGGTGAAACATACATAGTATATAAGCTGCGCTGGGAACTTTCTTTGATAGACAAAATAGCAAAGGCAACTTACCCAGTCTAGAATTTTTTGATCAATGCCGTCAACAAGCAGTTCAAGCCTCCATGATTCCTGTTCCCAAAGAGCCTCTTCCCTTGTGCTTGTGAATGGGAAAGCTTGGCTTTGCCAGATCCACATCATGTGGATTGCGTTTGGGCTTAGAACTTTTCCCTGTGGATCCAGCACCACAAGCATAGGCTTACCATGATAGTGCCAATCATCTTTAAGAAACTTGATGACTGCATTTCCAATTATTGAAGGATGATGAACAGAATACCAGGGCATTGAGGCTTTTAGAGTCTCAAGCTTTACTTCCATGGCATCTGTCCATTGCAGTGAACGGTCAATGACTGGGATCCAGACAATCTCATATTCGTGGACCTTCGATTCATTGTAGCTTTGCTCAAGAATGAAGAGCTCTTCATGAGTGATATCAAGGCCTGATATGAGTAATAACACATTTTTCCTCCTCAACATATCAAGGTGGACCTGCAAATTAGCAAAAATACAAGTACAATTTCCTTGATTAGATAGCTATGTTTAAAAAAACTATTGTTTGGAATGAATGATAGTTGATGTATACTATGGACTGAAGTTTCGAGCACAAACCCTTCTCTTTGCAGGACCATCATAAAGTGGAGATATGTCATCATCAGCATAGATCAAGGTCTTCAGGACTTTCATGTTGTCAACATGAATTGTGTGGTAGATGATTTTCTTGATCATATTATAAGCGTCAATCTGTTTCTTCTCCTCTATATGAGAAACCAATGTCCATTAGAGCTAAATAATATTCTAGGCATTACTGTGAAAATATAATGCAAGATTATAAGCAAGAAATTTGATGAAGTGAGAAGCTATCTGACCTATAAGCATGTACAAGTTGTCTAAGGTGCTCCTGAGATGATCATTGATTGTTTTAAGTTTGTGAGCCCAGTTGGAGAGCTCCCATGATTCAGCTGTGGCTGACATATTTCTGCCAAAAAGAAAATCTATTAGAAAACCTTGCGTTGTATCAGGCATCGCATTATTGTATAGCCAAAGCTTACCCAACTCCCTTGCTAGACATGGTTGTAATTTGGGTCGCAGCAGCCACAGCACTTCTGATTATCCAATAAATAGCTATTGGGAAATGCCTCATTGCAGCCTTGACTTCAGGATCTTCATCTGTGATATACATAGTGGGTAACTCTCCAAACTCAACAATGCACCTAGTTGTATCAAGCATGGCCTTTATTAGATTATTAGTGGCTTCAAACTGGTTCCTGTAGGCGCCTGCATGCTCCACAACCATAGGCAATTGCTTCATAAGTGCCATCGATTTTGCCAGGGCATTTGTAGAATAAATTTGGGCAAGAAGCCAGAAGTCTCCAAAAGTCATAGCAAATGCTGCTAATGTGAGCACCACCTTGGCTTCCCAAGAAAAGTGTGGCAGCATATTCAACACCGAGAGGGTGGTATTGTGTGCATCATATCCACTCAGTAACTTACATGTCATCTGCATCAGTTTTATAGGCATTACTTACAGTCAACTAAAAACAGTTTTAGCAAGTAATTTTTAGAAAACAGGACACATTCTTGTTCATGTAATTAACTATAAAATGCATTTGAACTATAAGCTAACAAAGGTGAAAACAGGAAACCTGTTTTATGTTTAGATTAAGCTGTAACCACTGAATACTTGGACCTTATATTGTGCGGTTTATAGAGAAGTAATAGTTCAGGAAATACCTCAGAGGATATCCTTTCAATAATGAGTGGCAAATCAGGAACTTCTTGAAGACCGTCAAGGGTAAGTCTGCTTCCTTGGGCATCCCTCTGACCCTGTAAACAGATTAGAACACCACTATCAGTAAACATGCAAGGTTGGGTATGAAAAAATACTAATACAAAAATTTTGAAATAAGTTATTTATTCGCTATACCATTGAAGACCTTTCAGTATTTTGAGTAGCATGGCGGATGATTTCCTCAACTAGATGGAAAAGAGGTCTGACATTAACATTTCGAGCATCAGGTTGGTGCAGCTGCTCAATCTGTTTGGAGAGGGCATTATCATCAGAGGTCAAGAAGATGCCTCCTCGTTCGTTACCCCTCGACAGCAGGGACGTGCCTATATAAGAAGGCAACAACATGTTGCTTTTTTCAGCATCCCATGATTGTTTTTGCAGCTGAGGTTGTAACTGAGCTGATACTTTGGGGGTCATTGGATTCGGGGCGTTTGCCATGGTGGCTATAAAAGTTGTTATACACTTTTGGTTGGTCAAGAAATGTCAAAACTGAGAATGGCTTGTGTGTTGCGTTTGTTGGTTACTGCTCTTTTATAGCATTGCAGGAATAAAGCAAAGTGAATCAACTTCAATTCCTTGCTTCCATTGAAGTTTAACTTGTAAGAATATTCTTCGTTTGTTTAATGAAATACTTAGATTTTGTCTCTCAATCACCTTTTACTTTTTAACTGTGGGATTCTGGACTTGCGGTTGTTAATCAACACAAGTAATTTCCCTTAATTGAAGCCTCCCCAACCTCCTACACGCACAAAAAACAGAAGGAACTTTGTATTGGATTGTTTTTTTTTGTTTTTTTTAAAGGTAAGGAGGAGGACCCTGACCATACCTCAACCCTCACGGTTATGTTGTTCGGTATTTGCGGGTCAGACAATTTGAGAGAGAGGGGGGAAGGGTAAGAGATCTCACTCTCAAATCCTCTAGTGGGGATTGAACCCCCAATCTCATAGCCGATGGTATTTGTGATGGTCATGAGAGTAACCGAACATTGACTACATAGTGCGGTAGTGCCTCGTTAACTATGCTAGTTAAAGTGTTGCACTTTATGGTCAAAAGAGTACGTGTTTGCCTTCAGAATAACGGATACTACGACTACAGCTTCACCTTCACATAGGACATTACAAGACGTACAACGACTTAGCTCACTTCTACAAAGACGCAACATTTTGAAGGTAGACAGTATTGTGAACAATTGTCGGACTAGTTTAGTTTCCTTTTCTGTAATTGTTTACTTTATTTGTGCTTTACTGTTGTCATACCAAAAAAAAAAAAAAAAAAAAAGGGATCAGTTCAAGGACAATTAGTTAAATGCAAACAGTGTTGTGAAAGGTAGAGTGTCAGAGCAATTGCTTAGTTGATTTGGTTTGCTCGATTCTCTAATTAACTTCAATTTCAATATTCTCTAGTTTGTTTTTCACCAAGAGGCAAAACCACAGTAGAAGAGCAGAAGATTCCATACCCTTGCTTTTTTCCCTGTTTGGAAAAAGGAAACGAATTCTTGCTTTTATAAGTGAATATAGTTTTATTTATTTATTGATTTATTTTATTTTTTGTTGTAAAATTCGAGTGATTTCCCTCAATAATGTTAAAACAGAAACAAATTCCCACTATACACCTATTTAAAAACAAATTCCCAAAATACCGTCCATGTAGGATTGGTATTTGGTTTGGATAAAACCGCTAGCAATATTAGCGGTTTTGGATTTTTTTTTTTAAAAAAAGAAAAGAGACCAGTTATTAATGAAATTAGGTCTCTTTGAATTTAAGTGGGCGTTCTCTTTCCTGGTATTGGCTAAGACATGGTTTCAGAAAAGAGACCTCCTTTTTTATTGTTAGGCCTCTTTGTCTCCTTATTTAAAAAAAGGAAGAAAAGAGACCTGTTTATTGAAATAGGCGGTCTCTTTTCTGAAACCGCTAATGACAGTGGCGGTTTACCGATCATACATGGATGGTATCTAGGGAATTAGTTTCCAAATCGATGCATAAAGGGAATTTATTTTTATTCTAGCATTATTGTGGGAAATTGATCTGTAAAATTCTGTTTATTAACGGGAAAAGTGACTATAAACTATATAGAAAGTATTAAGTAATTGTCAATCAATGTTCTAAAGATGTATTCATGGTCATCTTAAATAATATCTTGGAGACTATGTTCTTACGGTTAAGTCTTGGTGCATAGCGCCTAATGATTTCAATGCATATAGGATGACAATTTTGCAATAAAAAGGTACTGTTCAGATAACTTATACTTTAGTGGTATATTATATATGCATAATGGTACATTATAATGTACCATTAGAGAATCAACTTTTTCCAGAAGTTGAAACTTATATGATGGTAAAAAAAGTACCACTACACTCGTAATAATCCACAAAACATACTATTCAGACAAATTATATTTTAGTGGTACATTATACATGCATAATGGTACATTATAATGTACCCCAAGAAAGCCAATTTTTTCTAAAAGCAAAAATTGAATCAGCGGAAATTACTTCCTTACCCTCATATTTACATAACTCGCCCATAGGTGCTATGCGCCCAGACTCACCCCATGTTCTTACTAAAAAAAATGGGACCCGACTAATAAAAGTTCATTTTAATGAATATAAATTTTTGTAAAAATTTTGTCATATTAGAAATTTAGAATTATAGTCTCTTAACTTTCTGCATCAAGTTACATTTAAGCGCTATGCACCAGTAATTTTCCGCATGTTAGCACGTTAGTGAAAGTGAAGAAAGGACCTAAAGCACCTAATAATCTGATATGCCTCGGAATCAATCTTCTATGCTTCAATTTTCCAATTAGCTTTTGCCTATTGTTCTAACTTTAAAATTGAATTACAATTAGATGATAGGCCATTTATATTAAATAAATTGAAGAAAAAAAAAAAATTAAGGTAATGTCAGCTCCTTGGTTTAACAATTTTCAGCAACAATATTCCCAAAGAAAAATAAATTAAATGTGTAAAAACTTATTTGGGACACAAAGAGCATTACTAAAATGGAGAATACATTAATACATGATATAAAACTACAAGATTGAACTAACCCATTTGCAACAACATGATACCAATGCAAATGTGTCACCTCACCTCTTTAGGATTTATTCTAGTACTATTCGTATTAAAATACAAGACAAATTAAAAATCAAATAAACATAGTAAATTTGTAACTTAGGCCTCATATTGATCAACATCAGTTAAAGCAGCCAGAACTTCAGCAACTTCAGCATTGTGATCTTCATGGCAGCAGATGAATGATTCGTTTTTATGCATAGGGCGACGACAGTCAGGGCAAGGCATACTTCTTGGAATTCTCATACCAGAGGGGAACAGAATCCTATGACATGGATATTCCTCCATATGAAGCTTTGTGTAATGGTTTCCGAACCCCACATCGAATCCATTTCTTATAGCTGGTTCCTTCCACTTCTCGAGTTCTTCAAGAGTCACCATGGCCACCTTACCCTGACCATGGACAATGATCCTTGAGCCTTTGGCTAGCACTACCCATCCGCTGTGTGATTTGTCATGACTGTGGAGCTTTTGTATCTCTTGCCATATGGTATCTTCATGGTCATGGACATTACCTAGTTGAATCTTCGAGTAGATCATGCTCTCGATTCTTGTCCAGAAGTACCAAACAAAGGTTGGGTCTTGCCAGCAATGGCTCAGCTGCTCCATTATTATAGATGCACAAATTTTGTGCACCTCCTCCTTGGTATGGCTCCTACCAACATAGACCATTTCAAGAGGAATTTGCAGAGTTCGCGCTACAGCTCGTGCCTCATTAGTGAATTGTCTGATCCATGTTAGGTCGTCAGCTCCATACAAGAGAATGTACTTTTCTTCTCTGATCTGATGTTAGCATATTTATATGAGGTTAGATTATGTAATATTACATAGGAGATTCTAAAATTTATATAATTGACACGTACAGTCAAACATGACACATATGTCAATGTACTAATTTAACATTAGATATATATAATTAAATTTAAGTAAAAATATAAATGAAATGATTTTATGAAACATTATATTAATACCTATTCAACATTTTTTATATAATACTATAAACAAAGATCAAAGTTAGTGTATGAATACTGAAAAAAAAAGTAAAACATGTTAATTATTCCGGAACGAAGGGAGTAAGAATTTGTAAAATAGTGAAGGAAAATTACCCAGTCTAGAATTTTCTGATCAATACCATTAACCAGCAGTTCAAGCTTCCATGTTTCCTGCTCCCAAAGCGCCTCCTCCCTTGCGTGTGTGAACGGGAAAGCTTGATTTTTCCAGATCCACATCATGTGGATTGCATTCGGGCTCAGAACTTTTCCCTGAGGATCGAGCACCACAAGCATAGGCTTACCATGAAAGTTCCAATCATCTGTCAGAAACCTGATGACTGCATTTCTGATTAATGAAGGATTATGAACAGAGTACCAGGGCATTGAGTCTTTTAAGTTCTCAAGCTTAACTTTCATGGGATCAGTCCATTGTAGAGAACTGTCAATTATTGGGATCCAGACAACCTCATATTCATGGACCTTTGATTCAATGTAACTTTGCTCTAGAATAGATAGCTCTTCATGAGTGATATCGAGGCCTGATATGAGTAACAACACATTCTTCCTCCTCAAAATCTCAAGGGGGACCTGAAAAATAGTAAAATTATGAGTATAATTTTCCATGAGTTGATAGCCATGTCAAAATGTTGGAACGATTATTAATTGATTCATAGTGACAGAAGTTTCGAGCACAAACCCTTTTCTTTGCAGGACCATCATACAGTGGTGGCATATCATCATCAGCATAGATCAAGGTCCTTAGGATCTTCATGTTGTCAATATGCATTTTATCATTCATGATTTCCTTGGTCATATTATAAGAATTAATATGCTCCTTCTCATCTGTACAACAAAACAATGTCTTTCATTAGCTCAATCTTTAGACATTATTATATAAACATCATGCTAGATTAGAAGTAAGAAATTTGATTAAATCTAACCTATTAATCTATACAAGTTAGTCAAGGTTTTCCTGTAATGATCGCTGATAGTTTTAAGCTTGTAGACCTCAGATGAATTAGCCTTGCTAATTCTGTCAAGAAAAGAAAATGAATGAGGAAACCTTCTGTTATTGATTCTTGCATTAGGCGACGTATTATTGTATACTCATCATTTAACTTACCCAACTCCCTCGTTGATCATGGTAGAAAATCGAGTAATTTGTCTTGCAACAGCCACAGCACTTCTGATTATCCAATAAACAGCTATCGGAATTTGACTCATTGCAGCCTTGACTTCAGGATCTTCATCTGTGATATACACAGCGGGAATTTCTCCAAACTCAATTATGCATCTGGTTGTATCTTGTATGACCCTTGTTAAATGATTAGTGGCTTCGAACAGGTTTCTGGCAACCACATCATTTGTGCGCAGTTTTGAAATCGAATATGCAAGTTCATTCGTTAATGTATTTTTGATAACAAGCCAGATCCTTCCTACAGTTACAGCAACAGCTGCTAATGTAATAACCACCTTGGCTTCCCAAGATAAGTGTTGCAAAATATGTAACACTGAGAGGGTGGTTTCGTGTTGATCAGGGTGATTTCGGTTCATCTGCATCAGTTTTATTGGCATTAACACTAACAGTAAAACAATTTCAGCAACTAATTTAAGGAAACTGCAGACATTCTTGTGAATGTTAATATAAAGGTTGATTGTATAAAAATAATTTGAGACAAATGAAAATGACTGGTGTAAAACTTAGTTTAGGATAACGGAAGTATTGTGTTTCGACTTTAAGTTAGGGTCTCTGTAAGAGAATTTTAAAATTAGGAAGTGTGTTACTTAGAAAACACGGCTACTTTAGAAATGTGTACATGTTACTATAACAAAAATGCAACACTAGTAGTGTAGTACCTCAGAAGATATCCAATCAACAAGGAGTGGCAAATCCGGAATTTCTGAATGAACATCATCATGGGATTCATAGGTAACTCTGCTTCCTTTGGCCTCAGTCTGACCATATACGAAGATCAGAAAAAATTTATCAGAAAACATGAACGCTAAAATTGAGCACGAATAAATAAGAAACATAAACAAGTAGAAGAAAAAACATTGATACCAATGGACGACTTCCAGTAACTTGAGTATCATCAACACGGCTGATGATTTCCTCAACAAGATAGAAAAGGGGTCTGACATCAAAATTACGAGCATCGGGGTTGTGCAGCTGCTCAATCTGTTTTGAGAGGGCATAATCATCAGATGTCAAGAAGATGCCTCCTCGTTCGGAACCCTGTGACAGTAGTGTCTTGCTACTATCAAATGGTACAGGGGTCATTTGAACCGGGGCGTATGCCATGGTGGCTATTAACCCAATTATACACCCCTGTGGTTCAGAATTGAGAAATCTGAGAATGTGCAGTGTTTGTGTATTTAGTTTTGCAACTTGCTGGTGTTTCTTATTATAGCATTGTTTCAGGAATAAAGCATTGTGTATCAATTACTATCTTTTATTAAAGTTTAGTTTGTACAAATATTCTTTAATTGTTTAATGGAAAACTTAGATTCTGTCTCTGAATCACAGTTTAACCTTTACACTACTGTGGGAATCTGGATACAAAGATCAGATGTTATTTAACACAAATAATTTCAGTTAGGAAAAATGGAGTAATGTATTTTGCTCATTTGTTTAATGAACAATGTGTTATTTTTGGTTAGAAAAAAGGTTTTAGCTAATACATGTTAATAAATTAATAACCCATATGAGATTTGTGTTGGCAGATAATTATGAAACATAAAGAAAAAAAATAAATGGTTATTAAATAACCATGCATTACCATTGAAAATTAAAGGTGTTTCAAAATATAGGGAAAAATAACTAATGGTAATAAATATTGCAGGCTAAATTTTAAATGGCTTAGGTTGTTTTAGGAAAACTATAAATTGAGCATTTCCTTCATTTGTATGTAATAATTTCAAGAGAAAATCTGAGAGAAAAAAAATAACTCAGAGAAAAGAGGGGTTGTGTTTTTTGCACTTTGGTATAAATAGACATTTTGTTTATGTAATTTATTTCTCCCTCAAATTTGATTAAATAGAAAATTTGCATTATTTTCTTAATAATTGGTATCAAGAGCTTGGTTGACAATTAGTCCACATTACGATAAAAATAAAAACGATCCTAAAAGAAAAAGTCAAATTTGAGTGGGAGAAATGGCTGCAGACAAAGGAGAAGTTAAACTTGAAAAATTCGATGGTAAAGATTTCGGATTTTGGAAAATGCAGATTGAAGAATATTTATAGCAGAAAAAACTCTATCAACCTCTGGAAGAGAAAAAGCCAGATGGCATGCAAGAAGCAGAATGGAAGCTTTTAGATAGACAAGCACTCGGAGTTATTCGATTGGCGTTATCACGCAATGTGGCGTTTAACATTGCAAAGGAAACCACAACGGCAGGTCTCATGAAAGCTCTCTCTAATATGTATGAGAAGCCATCAGCCTCCAATAAAGTTCATTTGATGAGGCGGTTGTTTAGTTTGAGGATGTCGGAAGGTGGATCGGTAGCTCAACACCTTAATGAACTCAATTCTGTCACAACCCAATTGAGTTATGTTGAAATTAAATTTGATGATGAAGTATTAGCGTTGATACTTTTATCTTCCCTGCCAGATAGTTGGAATGCTACAGTCACAGCTGTGAGTAGCTCATCGGGAAATAATAAGTTGAAGTTTGATGACGTTCGTGATCTGGTTCTTAGTGAGGAGATTCGACGAAGAGAATCAGGTGAATCTTCATCCTCTTCAGTATTGCATACAGAGTCAAGAGGAAGAAATTTAATCAGAAGGAATGAACGCGGAAGATCAAACTATCGAGGACAATCCAGAGATAGGAGGTCAAAATCCAGGAATCCAAATAATTTCCAAAACTCAAAGACTGTGGAGTGTTGGAATTGTGGAAAGATTGGGCACTATAAAAATCAGTGCAAGGGAACACCAAAAGGCAAAGAAGTGAAGGCAGAGGCAAATGTCACTTCTACCAGAGAAGGTGATGATGCGTTGATATGCTCATTGGAGAGCAAAGAAGAGTCTTGGGTATTAGACTCTGGAGCATCGTTCCATGCTACTTCTAATAAAAACTTTTTTGAGAAGTATGTCCATAGAAACCTTGGACAGGTATACCTTGGTGATGACCAAACTTGTGATATTGTTGGTCAAGGTAATGTCAAAATTAAGTTAAATGGGTCAGCTTGGGAGCTGAAGGATGTCAAACATGTTCCCGACCTAAGAAAGAACTTGATCTCAGTTGGGCAGTTGGCTCGTGAAGGTTACACTATAATCTTTCAAGGTGATAATTGGAAGATTTCAAAGGGAGCAATGATAGTTGCTCATGGTAAAAAGAATGGTACTCTCTATTTGACAGCTGGAGCGTGTTATTCGATTGCAGTTGCAACAGAGAATGAAAATTCCAAGTTATGGCACCAAAGACTTGGTCACATGAGTGAGAAAGGAATGAAGATCATGCATTCAATTGGAAAACTCCCTAGTCTAAAATCTGTGAATTTAGACATGTGTGAAGAATGCATACTTGGAAAGCAGAAGAGGGTAAGCTTTCAGACATATGGAAGAACTCCAATGAAAGAAAAATTGGAGCTTGTTCATTCTGATGTGTGGGGACCAACAACCACCCAGTCTATAGGTGGAAAACAATACTTTGTGACTTTTATTGATGATCACTCTAGGAAAGTATGGGTTTACTTTCTAAAATACAAGTCCGAAGTGTTTGAAGTTTTCAGGATATGGAAAGCTAGGGTTGAAAATGAAACAGGTCTGAAGATCAAAAGATTCAGGTCCGACAATGGCGGAGAATATGAGGACACCAAATTCAAGAAGTTTTGCTACGAGCATGGTATTAAGATGGAAAGAACTGTGCCAGGTACGCCTCAGCATAATGGCATAGCTGAGCGGATGAACCGAACATTGACAGAAAGAGCCAGAAGCATTCGTATACAGTCAGGTCTACCAAAACAATTCTGGGCAGAAGCAGTCAATACAACAGCTTACTTGATCAAACGAGGACCATCAACCCCATTGGAGTACAAATTACCAGAGGAGGTATGGAGCGGCAAAGAGATCAAATTGTCGCACTTAAAGATATTTGGTTGTGTAGCTTATGTGCACATTAGTGATCAAGGCAGAAATAAGCTTGATCCTAAATCAAAAGTTTGCACTTTTATCGGTTATGGCGAAGATGAGTTCGGATACCGCATTTGGGATGATGAAAGCAAAAAGATTATTCGTTCAAGAGATGTAATTTTCAATGAGAGAGTCATGTACAAAGATAGGCATAAAATTGAGAGTTATGAAACAAATCAAAAAGAATCTACATTCATTGATGAAGATTATGTCCCAGACAGTACGATGCAAGAGTACACTATCATAAGTACTCCGCAACAAGAAGAACAGACTGTACAGGGAAGTACATCGCAATCAAATGACATACAATAACCTTCTTGTCCAACTCCTACACTAAGAAGGAGTACTCGACCACATGTGCCTAATAGAAAATATATGAATTATTTGTTATTAACTGATGATGGGGAACCAGAAGATTATTATGAAGCATCCCAGACCAGAGATGCTAGCAAGTGGGGGCTTGCAATGAAAGATAAAATGCAATCCCTGATTTCAAACCAGACATGAGAACTAACTGAGTTACCCATAGGTAAGAAGGCCCTTCATAACAAATGGATATATCGAGAAAAAAAGGAGCACTATGATTCCAAGAGGTATAAGGCTCGACTAGTTGTCAAAGGTTTTCAACAGAAAGAAGGAGTTGATTATAATGAGATATTCGCTCCTATTGTGAAACTCAATACCATTAGAACAATGTTGAGTATTGTTGCAATTGAAGATCTTTATCTCGAGCAGTTAGATGTGAAGACTGCATTTCTTCATGGAGATCTTGATGAAGAAATATACATGCACCAGCCAGAAGGTTTTATAAAAAGTGGGAAAGAGCAGATGGTATGCAAACTTAAGAAAAGTTTATACAGGCTAAAACAAGCCCCAAGACAATGGTACAAAAATTTTGATAACTTCATTCACAAGGAAGATTTCCAGAAGTGCAACGCTGACCACTGTTGCTACTTCAAGAGATATCAATCCAGTTATATCATCCTATTACTTTATGTTGATGATATGTTAATAGCAGGTTCTGATATGAATGATATTATAAAGTTGAAGCATCAATTGTCAAAGGAATTTGACATGAAGGACTTGGGTCCAGCAAAGAAGATTTTAGGAATGCAAATCACAAGAGATAAGCAGAGAGGCACTTTGCAGTTATCACAATCAGAGTACATCAAACGTGTTCTTCAGAGATTTAATATGGGTGATGCTAAGCCTGTTAGTACACCGTTGGCGAGTCATTTTCGTCTATCAAAGGATCAGTCCCCTCAGACAGATGAAGATAAAGAATATATGGCCAAGGTTCCTTATGCCTCGGCTATTGGAAGTTTGATGTATGCAATGGTTTGTACAAGACCAGATATTGGACATGTAGTGGGAGTTGTAAGCAGGTTTATGTCCAATCCAGGAAAAGTCCATTGGGAAGCTGTTAAATGGATTTTGAGGTATTTACGAGGTACAATTAATAAGTGTTTGTACTTTGGTAAAGGTGAATTGAAAATACAAGGTTACGTTGATGCAGACTTTGGCGGTGAAGTCGATAATAGAAAGAGCACAACGGGTTATGTATTTACAGTTGGAAATACAGCCGTAAGTTGGATGTCCCAACTACAAAAGATTGTTGCTTTATCCACTACAGAAGCTGAGTATGTGGCAGTGACCGAAGCTAGTAAAGAGATGATATGGCTTCAAGGTTTGTTAGATGAGCTGGGGTTCAAACAAGTGAATAATATTTTGTATAGCGATAGTCAGAGTGCTATACATTTAGCAAAGAATTCGGCGTTTCACTCAAGAACAAAGCACATCGGTATTCGTTATCACTTTATCAGGTCTCTTCTAGAAGATGAAGTGTTAACTCTTAAAAAGATTATTGGCAGTAAGAATCCAGCAGACATGTTAACGAAAACAGTGACTATTGACAAGTTGAAATTGTGCTCAACATCAATTGGTCTTAAAATGACAGAAGACTAGTTGAGGTTCTACTCCTTGGTGTGAAGACAGATTGAAATCAGTCTTCAAGTGGGAGATTGTTGGAAGATAATTAAGAAACATAAAGAAAAAAAATAAATGGTTATTAAATAACCATGCATTACCATTGAAAATTAAAGGTGTTTCCAAATATAGGGAAAAATAACTAATGGTAATAAATATTGCAGGCTAAATTTTAAATGGCTTAGGTTGTTTTAGGAAAACTAGAAATTGAGAATTTCCTTCATTTGTATGTAATAATTTCAAGAGAAAA